TAAAGACCAAAACTTCTATAGGGAAAAGAACTGGTTCTTTATCCCTCAAATGTTGCTCACCAGTGGTCTACAGACTTTTTTCTGTAAAGGTCTAGATAGTAAATATTTTCAGCTGTGGGGACCATATTGTTCCTGTCACAACTGCTCAACTCTGTCTTTGTAGCACCAAAGCAGCCATGTAAATGTAAACAGATGAATGTGGTGGCTGGCCATGGTTTACCCACCCCTGACAGTCTAAATTCATAAAACTTACAACATCCTTATCATTGTTTGCATAAATTAATGAATGCTTTGTATGTGGCCAGGCTCTTCCCAAGTACTTGTAAATGATCGCATTTATCCCATACAGAACGATTATGTGAGATCATTAATAGCATTGTACCCATTTTACAGATAAAGAAACAGAGGCTCAGATAAGTTTAAACAATGTAAGTAAGGGCCAGGCTGGATTTTGGACCAAGATAGCTTAACTCATGCTCTTTCCCTTTATACAGTCAGTACAGCCTATAGTACTAACATCATTGATACCCACATTTGCTTTTATATCTTCACATTAGCTGGTATTTGGACTTTAGCCCCTCAAAAAACATACAGATAATTGCTAAAAAACAAACAAAACACCCCAAAACATGGCAAGAATTTTAAAAATAAGAGCCCATTAGTTAGTTAATAGAATTTGGAAGCCCCAAACAAACAAAACACCCAAAAACATGGCAAGAATCTTAAAAATAAGGGTCCATTAGTGAGTTAATAGAAATTGGAAGCCATGTTCTACTGTGTTTTCCAGGCTTGCTGTGCTTCTTAACATCCAAGGATTAGTGCTAGGAGACTGCCTGGGGAGCTTGGAGGCCAAAGATATCCAGACTGGTTTCCAAGTTCCAAGACCCAGTGCTCTGAAAATGGCGAGGTGGAGCTGGGCCTGAAGCAAGCTGCTGCTCGGAGGCGTGGCGTTGCCGAGACCAGCTGCCCTCTTACAGAAACACCAACACCAGCATGAGCTGTCCACTCCCTTGTACACACAGGTGCAGCTCCTTGGCTGCCTCTGATGGGGACTTAGGGGAGACGGGTAATCACATAATACAAGTTGTTTGCTGACTACCCGTGGTCATTATCCTGCAAGTCAACCAGGTAGAAATGTCTATTAAAGATAGTAGAAGCCAAGTTTGGATGCTTTTTGTGGTGATAGTAAAGTGTATTCTGAAGAAAACTTAGAAAGAGCAAAAGGTCAGAAAAAAGATACCCCATATTTCATCACCTACAACATTTCCCAAAGTGCTTTATTTAACAGTAATGGAAGTGGAGGTTCCTGTGGTCAAATAAGTTTATGAAAGATTAGACTAAACAAACTTAAACAGTATTTTCAAGGATATGGTATATTGTTTTCCTGAATTGTTTATTTGGGTTTTTTGTTTTGTTTTTGGAGCCTCTTATAACATTGTTTGCAAGGAACATCCTTTGAGACACCCTAACCCAGAGGCATTTCTCAATGTTTACATGTTTGTAAATTTCCTTATGGTCAAGACATTTTTAAATGGGTGAAGGTGGCAGCAACAACTATGGTAGTTATGAAACCATACAGTTCTCTCTCTTTTTTTTTTCTTTTTGTAGCAGAAGTTATGCATTTGTGTTTAACTTTATTTTAAAATACAGTGGGGCCTTGACTTACGAGTGTCCCGACTAAGGAGTTTTTTGTGATACCAGCTGTCTCTTGGCCGATTTTTTGCATTGAGTTGATAGAGTAATTTGAGTTAACGAGCTCCTTAACGAGCTCGGTCTCGGAACGAATTAAACTCGTAAGTCAAGGCCCCACTGTATGTCATACTCCAGTGTCTTCATTCTGCTCACTGTGATACTGCACAGAAATTATTCTTCATCACTGCTCAGCAGAATTATCATATATACTTAATGCTTAATCATCACTTATATTATTTCATTTTACTTTTTCCAGTTTCCTTGCATTATTATAGTGTCTCTCTTACTGGTTTTTAAGAGCTTATTTATGACTAAAGATGTTAACCATTTATCATGCATTGCAAATGAAATACCATGTTTTTTGTTACTATTTTACTCTGGTGTTTTATATTTTTGTTATATCAAACTTGTGTATTAAATATAATCATGTTCTGTTTTTAAAAAATGTTATACTTATAGAAAAGTTGCAAGAATAGTACAAAGCTCTCTTTTATACCCATTTCACCATTTGTTAACATTTTACCACATTGCCTTTATTCTCATTCTGTGTGTGCATACATTATTGTTGCTATTACTTTTTAATATATATATATATATATATATATATATTTCAGAGAGGAAGAGGGTGAGAGAAACATCAATGATGAGAGAGAATCATTAATTGGCTGCCTCCTGCACGCCCCCTACTGGGGATCGAGTCCACAACCTGGGCATGTGCCTCGATCCGTGACCCCCCTGGTTCCTAGGTTGACACTCAACCACTGAGGCACACCGGCCGGGCTGTTGCTATTACTTTTGTATTTTTAATTAGTAAAATCTGAATTTAAAAATATTTTAATGAACTATGGATTTATTTCTTTAAAAGACTTAGAAACTCAAAATGGGCTAGAAGTTTATTAATTCCCCTAATTCTACCTGTTGCATTGGGTCAGTGGTTCTCAACCTTGGCTGCACATTAGAATCACCCCATAACAAAGAAACAGAATTTCCGGAGGATGAGGCCCAGAAATCAGGATTTTAAAAAAATTCCCAGGTGATTCTAATGTGCAGCCAAAGTTGAGAACCACTGGAAGCAGTCAGTGTATCAGTCAGGCTGGGCTAACAGCTGTAACAAATAGGCCCAATGATGGACAATGGCTCCGATGAAACAGACATTTTGATAAGCCTGTAGCTTGTAATCCTTACGAGGGAAGAATCGGTACCAAGGAAGGCTTCCTAATCAGGCCGTATTTGTGAGGTTGTCATTGATGTTCTGTAGAGACTGTCACAACCATTTGCAGTCCTTTGGGGCAGTGTCCTTTGAGAACTGGGCTTGGCTGAGGTGGGAGCCTTGGCCTGACATCCTCCTATGCTTTAGTGGGACCTCTGTATTTCACGTGTCCCATGCTGACTTGTCATGCTTTCAGAACATAACAACACAGAGGTTTTTTGTAATGACATCTAGTTTCAACAGTGGTTTTGTTGAACATACCTTGGAGCTTCCATATCTGGGTTTTCTTTTCTGGCCATGAAATCAAAGCTCTCTTTCTCCTTCAGGTGGTTTAAGTCACCCAATTTGAGCATCAAGTGAGTCGGGCAAACACTGTGCCACATTACAAAGCGATTTGTTGGTTTAAGGGGACTGTGGAGGTGACATAATCTCTCAGAGCGTTTGCAGAACCATATAAGGAAGCTGGAAATAGTCACCTCTCCCTCACTGTGTCAACATTGAGCTCACAGAGGAGGCCTGGACTGGTGTCCTCAGAGCAAGCACAAGGAACAACCAGACAGCCTTGGGAGGAGAGGGCAACGAGCATTTGTGTTCGGGGTGGGGGTGGGGTGGATGCAGCCCTCACAGTGGCCTTAGGACATGTGTCATGCCTTCAGGCTGGACTCTCTCTCACCCACAGAGCCACTGGACTGCACCGTGTGAAAGGGGCCACACACTCACACGTATGGCAGGTTCATACCTAGCTTGAAAGTGCTTTGTTTGGGCACAAATTTAGACTATAAGGACTGAACATTAAAAAACACACAAACATTTGATTAAAATTTTCAGAGATACTCAAAAGAAGAATAATAAGCTTATAGACTCACCTCAGATGCAACAATTACCAAGATTTTGCCACATTTTCTTACCTCCCACCCTGCCTTTTTTGGTTAAAATATTTCACGACAAACCCCAGAGAGCTTATCATTTCACCCCTAACATGCTTTCTCTAAAACAGTTGTTCTCAACCTTCCTAATCCCGCGACCCTTTAATACAGTTCCTCATGTTGTGGTGACCCCCAACCATAAAATTATTTTCGTTGCTATTCATAACGGTAATGTTGCTACTGTTATGAATCGTAATGTAAATATCTGATATGCAGGATGTATTTTCATTGCTACAAATTGAACATAATTAAAGCATAGTGATTAATCACAAAAACAATATCTAATTATATATGTGTTTTCTGAGCGTCTCAAGCCAGCGGTTCTCAACCTGTGGGTCGAGACCCCTTTGGCGGTCAAACGACCCTTTCACAGGGGTCGCCTAAGACCATCCTGCATATCAGATATTTACATTACGATTCATAACAGTAGCAACATTACAGTTATGAAGTAGCAACGAAAATAATTTTATGGTTGGGTCACAACATGAGGAACTGTATTTAAAGGGCCAGAAGGTTGAGAACCACTGTCTTAGGCGACCCCTGTGAAAGGGTCATTCGACCACCAAAGGGGTCGCGACCCACAGGTTGAGAACCACTGCTCTTAAAGGTAGGCATTTTATAAACAGAATGCCACTATCCCAACTAAGAAAATACACCCAGGGAGCAAAAAATGTTGGTGTGTAGTTTTCACAGAGCACCTGCAACGAGGTAACCTTACAGCATAAGAATCGACGAGGGCCTCACTGATAGCTTAAAGGAGGGAGCAGGGCCCTTGCTCTCAACTCGGAACAACGTTATTTGGATTGGGGGTGGGAGCAGGTGAACAGTTTTGCACTTGTGGTTCTGCAGACTCTAATCTCGGGTATTGAGCTATGCCATTTGTTTCCTGGGCACTTCATAGTATCATCAATGACTGATAATTGTAACTTACAGGAATTCTTTTAAACAATATTTTAATTGGAAGAAGCATCTGTCAGCTGTCAGGCTTCCAGCTTCCACTTTTGAGAAGCAGGATGTTGAATGTGAGTAATGACACAACAGGCCTATAAAATGCGGACTAACCCTCGGATGACTCATCCAGTACGTTGCAGTATATTTGTCAAGGAGACTGAATCATATATGGGGGAAACCACGGCTCCAGCAGCCAGCTGGTTCTCAGGTCCGCAAGGGACGGTCCATTTTTATCGGAAGCTTTGTAGTAGCAATAATGCTAATACCCAGCACATGGGCTCTACCATGTAGAGGAAATGGCACCGCCCAGCAGGTATGTGCTTGCTGTTTACGTGGGCTTTCTTTTCTCCTTCTCTTCTGCCTAACCTTTCCAGTGTGTGCTTTCTACCGTTTTTAAGGGAGGGAGAAAATTATTCAATTTATAAAGAAGTGAAGCGTGTGTGTGTGTGTGTGTGTGTGTGTGTGTGTGTGTGGTGTGCCCATGTGGTGTGTGCAAGGACACATAGGTAACCATGGTCTTTTGTTGGACAAAGAGTTCTTGTCACTCATCTCCTTTTCTGAAAACAAATTTCTCCTTAGGTATTCAGCTAGAGATGGTCTTAACCCATCCCCTTTGTTAAGCCCTTAGTTTAAGAGATGCTGCCTAGGAAACAGCTTGCAGAGGTGGTATACCTTTTGGGGAGCTGGCTTAAAACTTAAAAAAGAAATATGGATAACATTAGTATTTATGTAATTAAGAGCACCTCTTGTGGGTAGAGGGAAATCTCATTAAAGAGAAATAACTCAGGGAAATTTTCTTTAAGATTTTATGTTTAAAAGGTTAGAAAAAGGAAATAGTCAATGTTAGAAGGGCTTGCATAAAAACTGTTACTTACATCAACCTGCTGTCTGAACCCAGGAATTCAGAATGTGTATGTGAATGTTTTGGTGCCTCAGACTGTATTTAAGTTCATGTAAAGTACAGGTGTTGAAATAAGTTTACTTTTATACTAAAGAATTGAAAAATCTCTTCTAAAATAAATTTGGACTGTTTCTAAAAAATAAAAATAAAAAACTTAAAAAAGAAATGAATAAGCAGAGGTGAGCTAAAGGTTGTGGCCGAATGATAACTATTGTATTTAGGATGTTGGATTTTTTTCAATATTGTGCTCTTTCCTACCCTTCAAGATGCATGACTTAATGCAAGAAAGCTTTATTCCCCTCCTGAGTGACTATGTCTGTTTTTACAAATTATAATTTGTTCATGCTCAGTTCATGCATTAACTTTTCTAGGTGGGAGAAGAGGAGTTGGGGGGCTCGATATCAACCTTTAATTATAGCTTTCACGTGATCTGAAGGATTGCTCTGCATAATTGGGAGGCTGTGTCGCCTGTCTGACCCCCTCCCCTTCACTCACTAAATTTAAACAATGCCTGGCGAGTTAGGCGCATATCTTGTTTATTTGAGTACATTAAACATTCCTCTGTGTGTTGACAGTCCATTCAGTGTCTCCTTGTATTTTTAAAAAAGACTTTCTGCATCCTGTGCATCCTATTTGTTAGGGACAGAAGCAGTACTATTTCTGCTTTTCTGGTCTGTCTGTCTGGGTGAGGACAACTGCCCACAATTTTACCTAAGATTTAGCATTTTTGGAGCAGCTCCATATATGATGATAAATTCTGTTATCACTCGGACAGCATTAAACATAAGGGACTACTAAGCTGGAAAAATAGGCAGTGTTTGTTTCTCTTCCCTTTTCTTGTAAAGCCCATAATGATGTCTTGTTTTCCTTGAGGCATCTGTATTTTAAACTGTCAGTGGTAAATGTATTAAATTTACTTCTTTAAATACGCTTAGAATTCAGATAATCTGGAAAATCAGCGTGAAGGGGTTTATTTGGTTCGTTTCTATTTGTTTTGTAGATTAAGGGGTATACTTTTTTTTAGAATGGCCAACTTGTTTTTGGGGGCGGGACTATCTCCAAATTTCATTAATTTTGCATTCTATAAATGAAAGCCACCTGTTATGCTGTACCGTGCTAATTATGGTAGAGGACAATAATGAGGAAGGACAGTATTTGAAATATGTGGGGGTTTTGTTAAGAATTTTCCTGCCCACATCTGTAGTGCTTATTTTTACATGTGTGTGTATACATGCATAGTGCCTATTTAGTAATGGCATTTGGTGATATTAAAAAATACTTCGGATTCAAAGTGAGAGTCATTTTTATTCTCATTAACATTTTTTGTGCGCTGTAAAAGAAAGGCTACTTAAAAAAGTGTCAGCTTAAACTAAAGCCTGAATTTTGTGACCTTATAGTAAATGGGGTTCTCTCCGGAAGCCACATTCTGAATGCCACACTCAGCTCAGGGTTCACTTTGTCAAAAGTCATCTGAGCCCGACTGGTGTGGCACAGTGGTTGAGTGTCAACCTATGAACCAGGAGGTTGAAGTTTGATTCCCAGTCAGGGCACATGTCCGGGTTGTGGGCTTGATCCCCAGTGGGAGGTGTGCAGGAAGCAGCCGATGAAGTGATTCTCGCTCATCATTGATATTTCTGTCTCTCCCTCCCTACCTTCTCCTCTCTGAAATCAATAAAAATATGTATATATTTTTAAAAATGTTATCAGAAAAATAGCTAATTTGCTCCGATTTTTCTGACATCTTCAGTTCCATTACATCTTTTTTTTCCTTGAGCCTATAGAAAATGATTACAGGTAGCTATATGAAAACATGTCTTATTTTTTATTTTTTAAAATATATTTTTATTGATTTCAGAGAAGAAGGGAGAGAGAGAGAGATAGAAACATCAATGATGAGAGAGAATCATTGATCGACTGCTTCCTGCACTCCCCACACTGGGGATCAAGCCCGAAACCTGAGCATGTGCCCTGACCAGGAATCAAACCGTGACCTCCTGGTTCATAGGTCGATGCTCAACCACTGAGCCACGCCGGCTGGGCAACTTCACTCTCTTCTGGTCTGCGTGGTTTCTGACATGCAATCCACTGTAATCCTCCTCCTTAATTCCTCTATAAGTAAGGTGGTTTTCCCCCTCCTTGAAAATATTTCTCAAGATTTTCTCTGTCTTTGGTTTTCTGATGCTTGAATAGCATAGGCATAGATACCAATGAAAACATGTCTTTTAAAGTTCTTGGTTTATTGGCATTTTCTGTGAAAATGTGTTGCTTTCCTGTGATTTGTGTAGTTGAGACTAACTCAGGTCCTGTCCAGGTTGTTTCAGGGCAACATAGATTTCGTTCAGCTTTGGTTACCTTACGCACCCAGGGCATATTGATCACTGAGATTCAGCAATGATAATCACCCCTACGGTTGGGGCCGCCACTCCTCAGGGGCCCCTTTGCTGTTAAGCACCATGAGCCATCACTCCAGAGTGACTGTATGGTTTTTAGATTCCCCCTTTCCCTTTTGAGGCCACAGGAATACAGAGCCAGAGCCGGTACCAAGGGTCTCAGATCATTCAACTTGGAAGCAATCAATAGATATTGAGTGAGACACTGCCTATGTTCAGAGCTATGTACTGGATAGTGTTAAATTAAGAAATGCTTACGATTCGGGCCTAGCCCTGTCCTTGTTTTAATTCCCCTTTCAGTGGGAATTTATTGTTATGGCCTGTAGATTCCTCCTGAGTTTTCTTTTATTCATAGATTTACTGGAGTCTATAATCTGGAGCCACTAATTGCTCTGTATAGAAGCGACTCTCAGCTATTCCCTTTTGGTTCTTCAACATCTAACTCTTCCTTGGATGGATGTCAAGAAAGAACTGTCCTACTCAAAAATCCATTTGATAGTTTTGGTGGCCATGTTTTTCTGAGCTACCTTGCACAAAGGCTTTTGGTTTTTTGTTTTGTTTCATTTTCTCTCTTCCTTGAGGGGAGAGGCAGTCAGAGAGAGTGTTTGAATCCTCAAAGCTTAGAGTCCAGAATATTTTAGTGAAACAGATTAGTAACCATCAAGGATAGTTTTCCCAATCTTTGAGGTTTGAAGACCCCTCCCCACTTTAGCATCTATAAAAAGTATATTCTAATGACTCAAAGCCGTAATGAATTCAGTAACCATTTAATAAAAACAGGTTTATTTAAAATCACCATAGGTTATCTGTCGACATTTTAAAATACTTGCATTTAGAGAGATCTGCTTAGTGAGTCCACCATCCGTTCCTGCCGTGCGGGCGGATGATTTATGGGTGCTTGGTGATCTCCCCCAGCTGGGCCTATTCATTGCCTGCTGTCCATTGCCCACTCTTCTGCTGTCCCCCCACATCCGGGGTTTATGGTCACTCTGCCTACACAGGGTTGCGATGAACAACACTTAGATAAATCTTGTAGCATTATCTAGAAATAGTCGACTTTTGTGTGTAGCTCAGAAAATTCAGAAACAAGTACAGAACAGCCTTCCTAGGGCATGAAGCCCATTCTAAAGAACACACAAATGGGGCAGTGACCACCCTCTGATCAAACCAGCAAAGGCTTTTATTAGTCCTGAGCATTCTTCTAGGGGTGAATTTGCTGGCTGCCTGTTTGCATTGATTATCTGGGCCCAGATTGTCTTGGGATGCATGTGGGACAGTCATAGAGGTCATGCCCATCCCCAGGTGGATTCTTAATCACCAGCGTTTCTTCATGACTAATGATCACCACAGGGGAAGCAAATGCTTCAGAGGCAGGCTGGCACTTCAGCCCTCTTAGAAAGAGCTTTTGGCTGGCATGCCAGCCTACTACCTTCCTTGCTGCACACTTTGAGAGCAGCTCCAGGAGTTAGCTGCCTCATCTTCGTAGAGCTTAGTGTGCAAGGAACCGCAACAAGATACTATCTCTTTCCAGATTTCAACCCAAGAGATGACTTTTCGTTTCCAGTGTTAATTCATACAGTTGTAAAGATTTTCAGATTGGGGGTGTCCAAGCCGGGCTGGGCTTTTTGTGGTTTTCTTTTGAACACATGTTCCTTGTGCCCATCCAGAGGAAGAGGGGTGGCACTGGCCCCGTGGGGCCTGCTGTGTGACTGGGCCTCTTGAATTCCATTAAATGGAGCACAGACAGCATGTGTCATAAAGGCTGCTTGGGAAGGGTGAAGAGCAAAATTAGTGTCTGTGGGTGGGCATGTGTTCTCATCACATCGCCAAAGAACTGCAGTGTGCAAAATCTGGCAGGAACTTATTCCGAAGAAAAATAAAGCGGCCCCCTTTTCTGCTTTGAAAAATATTTTTTAAAAAATCACCAATCCCCATGATGAAGAAATGGAACTCTTAGAAAATCCTTGTGATTGTGTGTGTGTGTGTGTGTGTGTGTGTGTGTGTCTAAAATAATCTCAAAAT